ATACTCAAACAAAATTAATTTATCAGCGCTTAAGTTTCTGGAGAGGGCGAGGAGACACATGTTACTTGGCTCATGGGAGCATCTGGAGCATAAATTCCCAGCTGCACGCCAGCGTAATCTCCCAGCCGTCTTCCTTGCGCTCTACAATTTAGCAAGTCCCAGAACAAAGCAGCAACGTCCAGAACTGCGGTCACCTGCGACTGCATTCTCCTTCCCTTACTGGAGATGCTCACGCCCCCGCATTATTTCTAAAATGAGCTAAGATGTGGTGGATTTGGGTCAGGCTGCCAGGGCCCAGGCTCAGCCTCTGCCTACTGCTGGCCCCCTCCCCGCTCTGAGAGACCCCGCCAGCCTCGGGCCTCACATTCTCACCTCCCCCCCACACACACACCCCCTCGCCGCCCCCCTTCGGGAGCATCCTGCTTCTCAGAGCCCCCAGCAGATCTTCCTCACAGGCCACTGGCTGCAATGCCTTGGGGATTCTCCCCCCGCTGGGCCACGGCCGCCCTCCCTGGCAACTGAACAGAACGGGGCTCCGTCAGCGAGGAGAAAGCTGCCTCTGGTGGCAGAGGCGGGTACAGGATCCCCTCTGAATTCCTTCAGTGTCTTTGGGGACACTGGCACAGGTGCGCTTGACCTGCACTGCCATCCATAAGCCTTTTGTTGTAATAGCTTCTGCCTTCCCTTCCTTTTTTTTTTTTTTTTGTTGTTGTTGTTTTGTTTTGTTTTAAGATTTATTTGTGCATACAGAACTGGGGTACAGGCCAGAGGTACAGGGGCAGTGCAAAGATTCACAAAAGACAGAGTGGGGAGAAAAGGAAGACTGACCAAGTACACTGCTGAGGGGAGCAATGGGCAGGTAAAGAGAGGGTCCCGTGCCATGTGGGAGCCTCCCTGGTGGGGATCGATCTGGCTCACACTGAAGGGGCTGCTTGGCGGGGTTGTGCTTTGACCTGTGCCACAGGGAGGCCTGTGCCTTACTTGCTATAGCATTTTCCAATCCTATTTCCCACCTCTTTGGCCTGTCGTGACTGCATTATTAATAATGCAAAAAAATGACTTTTCCCTTCTTTCACACCCCCTCCCCCCAACATTAATGACTTAGTTTCAGCAAAACAAACACAGCCATCAAGTTATACTGAATTTAGAGGTTGGAATATCTGTTTGAATAACCATTGTTTATTTGTTATACTATTTTCATTTTACGGACTTTCTATGTATTTATTTTTGGGTTTATATTATAAAAGTTATAAACATGAGGTATACATAGTTTCATATTCATACAACTTTAAGTAACAATAAAATTTAAATCAACAGTAGTAAATGGGAATTCTTTTCTTTAAAAGGAAACTTTATTCTATCAAAAATTAATGAATTATTACAAGTGAAGATAAAAGGGATTTTTTCATAAGCACAAGACCAATATCAAACTTGAAATAAAAAAGCATCAGATACAAGATGAAATATTTGGTGCAGTTAAAAGATGGAGAGTTAGATAAAGTTTCTAACAGGCAGTAACTTTATTGCACTCCCAGGCAAGGTTCACCAACCCCCACCATCTCCAGGACCCCCACAGGGGTCAGAGAAGTTATACCCGGTGGGGAACACAGTTGTGTTTTTAGAGGGCATAGAGGCTGCTTGTTCTGAAACTGATTCATCAACTGTGACTATCAGTTCCCACAATGCAGGCAGTTCCCAGGCTTTAGGAGGCTCAAGGTTCGGAGGCTCCAGGCATCTGACAGTTATCTGGCTCCAGGCATCTGGGACAGTTACAGTCCCAGATTCAAGGTTTCTGCCCAAACCTTGCCAGGCCACCTCAACCTTACACAGTGAATTTTTGACTAATGACACAATAACGCCAAATAAAAATATTTCAGAGTAGCACAGTAAAAGGATAATCTATTAACTGGGATTTCTTCCAATAATACAAGGATAACTCAGTTTCATATGAATGTTATTATTAATAAATAAAAAAAAGTAAACCATATGAAAAAGAAGAAACAATAAAATCAACATTTCATTCTTGACTGACGTGTCCTCCTGTCACACACCCATTAAGTAGCAGAGTCACTGCCCACAGCCTGTGCAAAGGGAAACAGTGGTCAGGGCCCAGGGGCCTCTGGCTCAATAGGGTGAGCCAGAGAGTTGAGGCCCACCCCTGTTGTATCTTAAGAGTTGTCTGGGGACTCTGTGAACAGGGTGTGGTGGGGTAGATCTTACCAAGGCCCTTCACTGATCCCCATATCTGTAGTCTAGGGGCTCCCCTGGGCCTTTGGGCTTGTCCGGATCTTCTCATAGACAGTGCAGACTGCTGAGGACTCTCTGAGGCTCTGTGCACGGCAGGTGTCCTTTTGCAGGTCCTGCTACAATGGAAGCAGAGTCAGGAGTGGTTCACCAGTGCCTAAGCGTTAGGTGCGTGCTGGGTCGAGCTACCCGCTTCCTGTGCTCCTTTGCCTGTGGGCAGTCCTGGCCTCACCCCTGCTAATACTGAGAATACAGGTACTGACCCCGCTCCAGTCCACGGCCTCTTCCTTACCCTCCACACCACCGCGGGGCTCACTGCCTCTCCCCTCTCAGGCTCCCTGGGGGAGATTCTGCCCGGCAGCCTCAGTTGGACTCACACATGACCCCCCACCTGCTGTGTTTCCTCCGGCCTTATCATCTAACATTCATACTTTGTGTGTCCACCTCTTCCTTCCAGCAACCTAGAAAGTGCGCTCTGTCAGGCTGAGCATTTTGCTGCTTGTTGACTGCTGTCACCAGGTCAGAGCAACCTGGGACCACAGAAGACAGTACATACTTGTGGAACAAAATGTTCTCGTGCAAAAGAACTTTAAAAATAGCAAAGTGGCAAATAAGTGCAAGATAGTATAGCTGGAATCCTTATTCTATAAAGGAAGCTAAGGCCTGGGGACTAAAGTGATTTTGTAAGTTGATAAGAAGTTCCTGTCAGAGCTGGATTTCAAGCCCAGTTCTCCTGACTCTCTCCTTCATGTCCCCTTCTCTGCCTGGGGGTGGTCTACCCGTGTCCTGGGAGGGAGCTCATTCTTTACCTCAGACCGGCCACTCCCCAAGGGCAGGGACTGAGGTGTCGGGGCTTCAGGACAGGCTGAGTGTCTGGGCCAGGTGTTGCCTAACTTTTTTCTCCACCCCAAAGCCACATGTTGCTGCCCTCTGGGGCTTCTCTTGTACAGGGTGCTGGGGGTTGGGCTCAAGGAGCTGTTTCCTGAGTCCCCTGAGGCCCAGGTCTGAGGGAGCATAGCTCAGAGGGGCAAAGGGAGAAGTCACAGGGTGGAAGTGCTGGGACAGCTGGGGACAGCTGGGCTGGGAGCAAAGACATCCCTGTTCTGGGGAAGTGAACCTGGGGAGCTCCCGCCTCTCATGCCAACTACATTGAGGCTCTGAGCACAGAGGTAGTCACAGCAGGGAGTCTTCTGAGCAACCACATGGGTGAAGCACCCAAATACTTGCTGCAGCATCAAGCCCAGGGCCAGGGGCCAGGACTCTTCTTCCACTGTGATTTCTCAGTGCCCACTGAATGTTACAGCCCAGAGCTTGTCTCCTTTTTTTGGTTCCTGCAGTTCTGGTTGCCTCTCTGAGATCCCTCTTTTTGGGAAAGCCTCTGCTGGTCTCCTTGATAGCAAAGCTGTTTGCAAAGGGATTCTGACCTGGCTTTCAGAGAGGCATTTTGAGCATCCACAGAGAGTCTTTTGAGGTGCAGCCTGCAGCCTCTGGGAGTGAGGAATGCCTTTCATCCACTGTCTTCTTGAAACAAGTCACTGCCACACCCATCGATCTGCTGTGCCCAAGAGAGTTTAAGGCAGTGTGCAGTGCCTGCGCACTGACTGCACAGATCTGACCCTCCAAAATAGCTGATGAATGAAAGAAGAGATTCTGTAAATTCAAATACCCTTGCAAGGGGTTGAGGTGTGAGGCTTTATTTGAAGAATGTGAAATAAGAATTTTAAAGAAATCCCATCTTCTCAGAAAGAGGTGAGACTTTTTCAGTGGGAACTACATGGTCAAAATGACTACTTCCTTAATTTGTTAGTTTTTTAAAAAGCCACTTAGGTAGCCCTTAGGCTTTGTGCAAAATAATTGATGAATGAAAGAAGACATTCTGTAAATCCAAATACCCTTGCAATGCTGAGGCTTGATTTCAAGAATGTGAAATGAGAATGAAGTCTATTATATTCATTTCTGCATCCACCCAACACAATCAGCTCCTGTACTTAGTGTACTTAGTGTAACTGTCCAGCCAAGACGCAGGCCCCACACTTGCTAAGTTCACAGTCAATGATTATCAGAGGTCTAAGAAGGCCTGCGACTTCTGAATCCCTTTGTGTTTCTTACCCACTGTGTTTTGCAGAAGCTCTAGCAGTTAGGAGTGACAGTCCTGTCACCAAGCTCTGAATGGGTCTGCTTCTCTTCAAAGGCAGAACTCCCCTGGAGGAAGGGGCTGACGTGTGAGCTCTGACATTTAACATGTGTCAGGACAGCTCGTGGTTGTCTGCACAAAGCCCTAGTGAATACTCAGGGCTACCTGAGTGGCTTTTTTAAAAGCTAACAAATTAAGGAAGTAGTCATTTAGACCACGTAGCCCCCACCTCTTTCTGAGAAGATGGGATTTCTTTAATTGAAACAAAGGCCCACTTCTACAAAAATTTGGGCCTAAGAATCTCAAATTCTACTCAGGTAGCAGTTTGACACATACAAGTCCCCTAAACCTGCAAATATCACATGCAGTCGAGCTGTGAGATGGAGTGGCCCAGCAGCTAGTGCTCTACCAAGCCCCCCAGGTGTTTCTGATGCGAGCCCAGCTGAGCACCATTATTCTGGGGAGCTCCAAATGTCCTCTCCTCCACCAGCTGGTCCTGTCGCCATTTCTCCCACTCCAAGATCTCCTGGACCTTGCCATGTGGGATCACAACACTAATTTCCAACTAGGGGCCAACAGTCACATGAGCTGCTTTGTAGGGGAGCATCTTTCAGGGGAGCAATCAGGTCTTCACCCACAGGTAGCACAGGCCTGCAGGGCAGTGGGGAAGACGGAGCCTGCCTGATGCCCTTGCTCCTCCCGGGCCCTCCAGGCCTGCCGGTGGCCCTGCTTCTCCTTCCTTGTCCTACCAGAAGGCAGGGCCCCTCCCGACACCTGGTGGTTGCGCTCTTGGCTGTGCTGCCCGGCCAGGCCTCTC